CACACACACACACACACACACACACACACACACACACACACAACCCTCTACTAAAGTCCTATTCCAATTCCCCAAAGAGGACAGATGTAATCCTGGGTTCTCAAAAGACCAGGGCAGCAAAGCAGTAAAGTACAACTCTTGGTAGGCCCTACCAAATTGAAAAGAGTTTAAGTACAGCCTGCAACCACCTGAATACTTGTGCTCTCTAAATTTGAAGCATTTATGGCTAGAAGGTGGTCCATCAGGTGATAATTTTTCCCACATTGATGAAAACAAAGGATCCTGGAAGTGAAAATAGAAATCCAAGGAGGTGTGGGTTCTAGTCCTAGCTCTGCTCCTAATGAATCCAGCGATCTTGTACAAGTCACTTTTCTCTGGGCGTCGGTCCCTTAATCTAGAAAATGAGAGGATTGGACTAAGTGAGTCCTAAATTCCCTTCCCACTTGTAACATTCCATTATTCTATCTAGACAATTGCTCCAGTCAATTGAGCAATTGATTGTGGAAAGCTGGTTTCATCTTCCAGACACCCAACACACATCTCCAACTAGCCACGGGCTCCTTAATCCAACAGGATTATGAGATTCAAGTGCCCTTGACTCTCACTTTAACTTTCTGAGCTGGCCACTACCTAGAGCCCAAGTGGGAAGGAGATACGTAGATTCCAGAGATGTTAGACATGGTGGACCTTGACAAACTGGGATTTAGATTTAGAAAACTAAGACATAGAAACACAGAGGAGTGTTTGGACAGCTCTCTCGGCAAGGACCCTGATGTCAACCTCAGAGTTTCTTACCTTGAAGCTCTCAAGGTAAGAGAAAGTATTTTGGGGACAAGGACCCTGTGCAAGAATTTTCTGTTAATACATCCTCAGAAATAGTAATAGGGCACATGAAAATGTTACTGGAGAGAGGGGTGGAATCTTCCAACGGTAGCTGGGTATCCTGAAATGGGACTGGTCTCCTAAATGCACCAGCATGGGTACCTCCACCCTGTGGCTCAGGAATTCCTTTCTTCACCTCCTCAGCCACAGTCCTGAGCAGTCCTAGAAAGAGCCTGGCACACGAGGGTCAGCTATTGAAGCTCTGCCCCTTATTCCTCCGGAGACTCCCCGATCACCCCAGGGCCTTGCTGGCCCCAGGCTCACCTCAGCCCTTCCTGCCTAGCTCGGTGACTGACCCCCGGTCCACGCCTCAGTCATTTCCCGTCTCGCCTGCCGCCATTCCACAACCCCTCCCCCCACCTTTTCAGCTTCTCCCTTTCACTCTCATTAGCCCTCCTCAACCTCCCTCCCTCCCGCACTAGCTTACTCCTCTGCGATCCTCCAAGCCTTTCTATTGAGATAACTCCCTCTAAGATGAGGCTGGCCCTATGTAGGCTGCAACAATTGCAGAGTAGGGCTGGTGTGGAGGGAGATGTCCTAGGTTTCGTGGGAACCCCATCCCAGAGCGCCACAGAGAAGGGCGAGTGGGCAGCGGGTATGTCCAGCATAGGTAGGGGCAGACACCTGCGGAATAGGGCGAGAACTAGGGATGGGTTTCTTACCTCGGTCATAAGGCGGTCAGCCCCACTGTTCTCCTCATCCTTGAAGATGATGTCAGGATTGTAGTTGGGCACCAGGTCTCGAAAGCGTTCCGACCCCCGGACCACTCTACCCTCGGGCTGCCCGCTGGCACCCAGGGTTCGCTCTGGCACGCTAGGCACAAACTGCTTGTAGAGCAGCGGTATCAGTTGCTTTCGCACATAGCGGCGTCTGCCCACGGGTCCCCGGCCGGGTCCACAGCTCCTGGTAGGCAGTGTCAGTAGAGCCAGGAGTGCCAGGCAGCACACGGGCACCAGGCTCGCCCGCAGCGCCATGGCACCAGCCCCTAGGGGAAGGAATATCTGTCCTCACGGGGGCTTCTAGTCAGTTGGACATTTCTTTTCCGGTGAGCAGCAGGTGATTCATCTAGGGAGCGCAGGGCTCACACTGATGTCCGTAGCCGAACAAAAGGGTCACGGTACTGAGGCTCTTCCTTCATGCCCCCGGAGTTTGTGACCCGTCACTACGGGACTATAATACTCTAGGAATGGGGCAATGGGTACCAGCTTTGTAACCGGCTCTACTTACTAGCTAGGACAGTGTTGCCGAACTCCGCCTTAAGTGGCTATACGCCCCACCCACTATCTCCTGCCCCACCCCCCCGGGTGGGCCCAACCCGCCCCCAGTGGCTCAAACATCAGACCCAACGCCCCTCTTCCCCTCCCACCCAGTTTCCACGCAGCCGGCTTTCAGTCCTTGGCTGGAGTCCGCACACAGCGCAAGTCTCTAACCAGGGGAGTAATGGTCTGGGGACGCTCAGCTAGGCAGAAACAGCAGCAGCTTTGCCACCCTCCTGCCTTACTTCCTCGATAGGGCTGGCTCTCCCTCAAGGCCTGATAAAGGCTGGAGACATGCCCTGTTATTACCCCACATTGTGTGGACCTTCTCTCAACCCACCACGTGCCAGTTTTAGATTGCAGTGACCTCTGGAGGTTTCAAATATCTGACCCGAGGATACCAGTCCCCCAAATGCTAGAGGCTTCCAGTCCCACCAGATTATGTGCTCGCACTCTTTCACACCCCATATAGTCCACGGGCAGCTAAGTGGTGCATTGGACTTGTAGTCAAGAAGACACGAGTTTGAATCCTGCCTTGCTTGCTGGGTGACCCTGAGCAAATTACTCAACCTCCTGGCCTGTTTCAGCATCAGTAAAATTTGGGGTAATTATAGCACTTACCTCCCAAGGCTGTCTTGAGGATCACACAAAATAACATGGAAGGGTTTTTGCAAACCTCAAAGGGTTATTATAAATGCTAGTCCACCTTAGATTGTAGACTGATAACCAACTTTTCCATTCCTTCTTGCCTGGAGTGGGTAGAACTAAGCTTGGTGCTGAGGAAACTTGTCCCAGCATCCATTACCCTTTACTCCTACCGTCAGACCAAGCGGGATGACCTCCCACACATGATTCTGAGACAGGGACCTCAGATTTCATTCTGGGGGAAAAAAAGCTCCTCAAGGACAGAAGGATGGAAAACACAGGGCACTTTAACACCTGCTGCTTTACTATCCCTGGGTGAAGGGCCCTTTTGCCAAACCCTTCTTCTCAAAGAAAAACTTCTGCCTCAGATCTAAATTGGGAAATAAACCTTAGGCACTAAAAAGTAAAAGTTAGGAGCAGGATCTTTTCCCCAGCCTAAGGGCCGAAGATACAGAAACTGGGAATGGGTCTGGATGAAAGGTAGGGATCAAGGGGAGGGCAGCAGGGAGGGTGAAGTGGTTTAAACTAAATTGAAAATAAATGTTATCTGGTTTGGAGCAGGGAGGATTTGAGACTACCTTCCTTGCTGCTTTCAATCTGCCCATTCCAAACCCTCAGACAACCCATCAGTCAGTGGTAGTGTTTCTCCCCACACTCCTCGGTGTGCATTCGGTGGAAGATGAATTCCTTGAGGATAGAAATGGCTCCACTTTCATATTTCACATTCCCAGTGCCCAGCCTATTGTTGGTGTTTAGTAAACGTTTGTGAATTATACTCTCCTCATAAAAACATGTTGAGAACAGTCTTAAGAACCCATGGGAACAACTTTATTTGGGGGAGGGAAGAATAGGGGGAGAGAAAGAAGAGGATGGGAAGGATCTTTATCTTGAGAGGGAACAAACCTTCCTGACCTCATGCTGTTCTAGGACCCGGCTAGTTGAGAGAGGTCCCAGGGAGGGCTGTGCTCTGCTACGGGTAGGACAGCAGAGGTCTAAGGCCAATGTGTCCCAGGGAAATGGTCTGTTTCCCCATTCTTTTACCACTTCCCAATTCTTTCCCTCCCCTATTGCACATAAGATCATGTAAACACAGCCAGGAGCAGTGCCCAGGACTATAAATGAGGCAGATTAATATGTAAACGGAGATGAGGCTAGGAGCTAGTTGCAGGTACCCAGCCTTCTAGCCAGAAGCCCACATTTTTCTGAAAAGGATTGGTAAAGGGGGAAGGAGGAGTGGAAAAGAAATGGGCCCCAAACTTCGGCTCAGATTATACAGCAGTGCAAAGGTCTTTAGCCACCCTCCAACTCCTCCCCCTGACACAAAAAATTCCAGGCCTCGAAGAGCACCTAGTCTCTCCAGGACTCTGCTCCAAGCCTGGCAGTATCCAGTCTTCTTCCTTCCACCTGACTCTCTAAGATCAAGGTCACTGGAGCCGAGTCTTGCTGTGCTGACGTGGAAATCCAGAGACAGGTAGTGGTAGTCTATCAAGGCCTGGGGAAAAGGAGAAGCAGCCAGAAGTAAGGCTCTCTGGTTAGTAAAGTCACTCAGTAAGATACTTTGGTTCATTAGATAGTAGGCAGATAATCTACAGCCCTACCTGTCAATCATGAGTCCCTCCATTCAGCCTCAGGAACCTCCTATCACCTTCCTTATCTCCTCCCCCCATTTCCAATCCCCCCCACCCCCACCTCACCAAAGGCCCGGATGAGCTCAGCCCGAACTGCTCCAGTGACAGTCTTGACCAGGCAAAGGGTGGTGAGACCAGCAAAGGCTGCGTTGTACAGAAACACAATATAGAAATTTCCCAGCCAATTGAAACGCCCGAAGTCACCCAGCAAATCAAAGTGGGTAAGCCCTGTGAATGGAGAAGGGAAAAAGAAATATTTTTTAAAAAAGAACCAATTCTTAACTCCCCCTCTGATTACAAGTGGTTTCTTTAAGCCCTTAAATCAACTCAGAAAGTTGGCTCTCTGCTGCCCTCATGTGGTCACATCTTAGTACTGCAATCACTAGTACTGAAGATGCCACCCTTCAGTCAGCCCTATCCTACCTAACTTTTCCTTGGATCCCCATAGTGGAAGCCATACTCACCTCTTACTTCACTCCAAATACTTAGTTTAGAAGTATTATTGGGGGTAGCCTTTGCCTAGCACTATATAACCCTCCCAGGCTTCTCCTGCTCCCAAGGAGAATTCCCACCACCCCCAAAAGGCCAACAGTACTCACCCAGTGTACAAGAGAAAATAGGCAGGGCTGAGCTCAGCACCAGGAGACAGACACAGTTCCCAATGATCTAGAGATGGGGAAAAGGAAGGAGATCAGAAAACAGAATAGTCCCTTGAGCAGCTTGACCCCAATAAAATCCTAGTCCCTCCTCCTCCCAATACCTGGGTCATGGCTGTATCTCGATGTTTGGGTTGAAGGCCTCGGAACAATGGAGAGCTATAGAAGCCCACAACAGAGGACAGCATCAGGTAACTACTGATGACTTAAGGAAGAACTGGCATTGAAATGATTACATTCCTTCCTTATCCCCTCCAACCATCTCATTTCTCCCTCTGCCTTTCTTGGGCAGGAATACAACCTGCCACTCCCCCACCCCAATCTAGCTCTGCACAGGAGATAGGGCTGTGGGGTAGAGAGGACAGGGGAATAAAGTTTCTTCAGAAGGATACAGGATGAGGATAACCTGAACGATGGCACCAAACAAGCCCAACTTGGAGAATGACACCTGGCCCAAGGAGGTACCCTGTATGAGGAAAGGGGTGAGGTCATCACCTGTGGCACTCATCTCCTTTAGGATCTACTTCATCTCTTTCTCCTGTGGTCATGGACTTTTCAGTTCCCTCTCCCAACCTACTCCCCACCCCAAAGCCTTTGGCAAACCAAGGCTGTTTGCCAACTGGAAACTAGCCTTTAACAAAACAAAATAAACAAAAACCATACAAGGAACCACAAGCCCTGTTTCAAGGGTCAAGACCTTAGGGTCAGCTGTGGGGTAAGGGAAGAAGTGGTACCTGCATGCCACGGGGCATGGCTGCCTCATCAATGAGCAACTCCAGGATGTGGATGGCAACAATGAGCACGGAGAGGCCCTGGTCAGGGGAGGAAGGGAGGGAAAGGAAGAGAGCGGAAACTAGTCCTATCAGCTCCTGTCCTGGTCCCAGTAGAAATATAACACCCCCGCCCCCAACAGGTCCCTCCCAGAGTCTCTTTCCTCATTTTGTAACTATGGAACATCTCTTTCCCCTCTCATATGCCCCACCCCAGCCTGCCCCGGGCATGGTGCCACAAAGCCTCACTCAGTGGACTTACCCCCACCCACTGAGCCCCACACCCACCGTCAGCAACAGCAGACATAGCATGGCCAGTGGGTAACCCAGGTTTCGCTGCCAAGCAGAGGCCTTCTGTCGTTTCTCTGAGCAAGGACAGGGAGGCACAATTGGTAAGGGGCTGGTTGCAATGGAAGGGGAGCTCCCAAACCAGTGGCCTTCCTCCTCCTCCATTCCAGGCTGCCTCCCCACCTCTTTGGCTTGCCCACTGCCATCTTTCCACACCCATACCCAGCACAAGCCTCTGTGTCTGCAGAGTCACGACCTGTCTGTGCAGTAGCTTCATGTCCTGGGGCAGCCAGCACGAAGTGGGGTCTAAGGCAGAGGAGAACAGTGCTGAGAGGTGGCCTGTGACTCTGTCCTAACCCTTCCCCCACCCCTCACCTCCAAGCTACCAACCAGCCCTCGCTGTCCTGCCTCCTCTAAAACAAACCATCCCAGCGCCTGAGCTCTCCTAAGGGGAGAAGGCCACTCACTACACATCCTTCGGGTTAGAGCTGCCTCCTCCAAGGCTGAGCAATGCAGCTGTTCTTCCAGGTCCTCCAGCAGCTAGGCAGTAGGAAAAGAGGTAGGGATTTTTAGTAGCTTTACAGTCTTGGAATTCTGACCTGCCTCAGAGCACCCTCTGTCCTGCCCGCTCCCCTAGCCACCCACAACCAAGAGGCCAACAACACGTTAAAAAGGAAACGACCCAATGAGAGTAGTAACATAAAGACCTGAAATCACCGGGAAGGAGTAACATTGACCTTACAGACCCTTCCCTATAGGCAGGTTTGGGGCAAGGACACAGGACCTCTAAAGCGAAGGTAGAAAGAAAACCAAGGAAACCAAGGAAAGGAAGCCTGGAGGAAAAGGAGGCAAAATTCCACTTATTTCTGCACTTCTATCTCTGCCTGAGGATCTCCCTACAAGGTAGAAGGGAGAGGGGATACTACATACCCTGGGCTTGACCAGCAGTCTCCCAGTGACAGAGAACATTTGGGCCAGGCCCAG